CTTCCCCTTTTTCATCATATTTGGTAGTACTAAAATATTCTTAATTGATAGTGACTTGCCCAGTTACTCAGAAAGAGCTACCATGAGGTCCACTATTAAAGCTATCAGTAGATCAGTTTGCACGGCCTTCACTAGCAGGAGTTTGAATGAACCCAGTGGTACGAAACACCAGGAAAAGAAGCTGAGCTCTGTGAGTGTGTTTGGATTGTCCTCCCTAGCTATGTTCTTGGGGCTGGTATTCAGTAACTGTTGCCTTACACACATAGCCAGAGCCTCCATGACAGCCTCCTCCCCATCCTTGCCATTTTCACCAAGCTTTTGACACTGGGCTGTCCATGCTGAGCCAGCCTGGCATCACCTCACACAAATGTTGGTGGACTGGCACCTCCAGATGGGAGCAATCCAAGGCAGACTGTACCAGCTCCTAGGGAGAAGTTCCTAGAAGGGTCTTGACACGTGCAGAGCCTTCCAGATACCATTTCTGTCACTTTCCGGTACTGTTTCAACTTGGACTTGGGAAAATGTGCTTTGAAGGCATCCGAGGGAGTGTTCTTCCAAGACAAGTAGACAGTGCTGGTTAGTCACACCAAGATGCTGGTGAGTGTTTGATGCACAGACAAGGTCTCTCCCTCTGGCCAATGTACACCTATTTCTGGTAAGGACTGGATCTCTGAGAGTGGGTACATCCCAGCACACCCACACAGCTGGACCAAACTGACAGCCCAAGATTTTCCAGAGGGCAACTTGCAACTCAACAGCCAAAGTCTCCAGAAACTCCTTCCAGGTGGTGGGGCAGGAAGAAAGCGTGGCAGTACAGCCTTGTCCACCGTGCACTTCTCCCTCCCTCACTCCCTCCCTCCCTCCCTTTCAGCCCTGTCCTTTCTCAATACCCAGGAAAGATTAACTCCTCTTCGCACACCAGAGAAAGTTATTATCATTAATGAAGAATTAAAAGAGAGTGATTAATAAAGGGCCCTTATCTGGCCATGAGGAGGAGGCTGGACAATGGAAGGAAGATGGAGAAAATGAAAAACAATAAATATGAAGCGTAAAAGGAGGCGAGCACTGCTCCCACTTGTTAGATCGCAGCTGCATCTCCTGAGGGGGGAAGGCTCCAAATTGCTAATTACTGCCTCTGAAAAGACCTCGCTCTGATATGTTTTCTGCTGAAAGGTTCCCATTAATGAAGCAGCGATGATGCCGTTTCCCTTTGACTTGCCTTCAATTCCCTCCCTGAGCTTCCTCCCAAGCCGGGAACAATGAGGCCCTGGGAGCTGGCGGCTCCCACAGGCCTCTCGGAGACTAGGCCGGGGGCAGCCGAGTGAGGGGAGCCGAGCCGGCTGTGAAATATGGAGGGGGGAGATAAGGCAAAGACAGAGGAAAGAGGCTCACTCCCAGGAGCCCAGGGAAAATTTGCAGTTATTATGAAGGAGATGAGACAGATTAAAAGCCCTTGTGTTCTGCGCTGCCCTTTTATTTAGTGGCTTCATCTCCGAGATGAAAGAAGTTGGAAATGACTTTCTCCGCATTTTGCTGCAAGAAGCTTCACGGCACATTTTTTGACTTTATTCCTCCCTTTGTCTCTTGTCCCCTTTCTGTCTCTCTTTTTCCTTTTAACCCCTGGAAGGTTTTGCTGTGAAATGTCATGGGACGAGGCAGAGCATTTGCTGGGGTAGAGCAATGACCCTGCTGCTCTCCCCATCCTACTGGGCTGAACGGCTCCTGCTGCCCAGCAAGGAGGGAGCTGGGCCGAGGTGCTGCCACAACAAGCAGAGAGCATCCAGCCAAGCTTCCTCTCCTGCTTGCCTCAGAAATGTCCCTCACCACTAACACACCCTCTCCTGCCTCCAGGCCCAGCAGCAGTTCAGCACAGGTGACCGCAACCTCTAGGCAGGAAAAAAAAACATCCTTACAAAGCCCAGTGATGGATCCATGTGGGGTAAGAGTGCTGAACATTTTGTATCCCTGGAGCATTTAATGAGCAAAACTAGTGCTGACAAGTTGGGACAGTTCCCATTCAGGCAACTTACAAAGTGCACAGAGAGTAAACAATTTGCCAGGGATGTGGGATGAAGTTCAATGCAGACAAGGATTCAAAATTAACTTTTGCTGTCCTATGTCAGGGTGAATCTTGTAAGACTGCACAGAAATACCATAAACTGCTCAAAACCAGATTATCCCAACTGCCTCATTATATTTCTTGAACTCCTATTCCAAATTATAATCCTCATTATATTTCTTGAACTTCTATTCCAAATTTTTTCCACATCAGTGCTCCTTTGTGGTAACCATTTAGTTCTTGGGACCCTTGCAATTGCAAGAGCTTTTTCATCCTGTCTATTGCTTTTGCCCTATCTCTCTCACAGAAAACCGACCCTGTGTGCCAGTATGTGGTCTTTACTCAGGCCAAATGCTGGCAATATCTGCAGAAATTTGGGTTTGAGTGTTGAATGTGGAAAAAAATAATGGACAGGTGAATTAAAATTTATACCACTTGAAAAACATTTTGTTGACCTACAGAGAACAGAGAACTAGTTGGGAAATGAGGGGAAAATAAGAGAAATTAGAATGGGCATCTGCTGCCATCTCCCCAGGACATCTGAATACAGGATTTCTTGTACACAATTGTTTGTCTGGTTTGTTATCCTGCCTGGAACAGCAGCCAGTATTGAGTGCTTGAAATGAAGGGGTAAGAAGCTCTGAAGTGATGTTTACAGAATAACCTTCCCATCAGGGGAGTTTCTCTCTAACCCAGACATTTTGTAGCTGTTTTATATCCTGAAGCATGAAAAAGGATTGCAGCGGTGAAACAGGATTAGATTTTAGGAGGGATTTTCTCTCAGATCTGAGAGTAAAAAGAAAACCCCTGTATTGGAAATAGGAAACTGGCTGGGAAAACAAAATGCTGCTAACAAGTAAGGTGAGTTACTGCCCCAGAAAGGGTTAAAAAACTAAAAGGACACAATTTTACAGGCAAGTTTGTGCACATAAAGTAACTTTAATCAAGTCAGGTATTGGAAACGGGATAAAACAAAATCTACCTATTGACTGCTTTTCTTTTTTTTATATATTTATTTTCCAAGGAAATAATAGAGAACTACAAGGAAATGAAAATGTTAACATGATGGCTCAGACTGGCACGAAGGACTGGTCAGATAAACAGCATGAAGAAAGTTCAGCAAAGCTAAATGAAGCTTGTCCTGTTGGGGTGTAGGAATCAATGGTAAACTCAAGGATTCAGTTATTTTTGAAGTATCTTGACAAACTAGGGAGGGTGCCAGAGGACTGAGGAAGAACAAACACAGCACCAGTCTTTTGTGGTGGGAGTAGGGAGGCAGCAGTGGTCTTGGCAAATATCACCCTTTCAGAGTAACTTCTGTTCCTGGCAACGTGATGGATTAAACAGAAAAGGGGGGAAAAGTAAGAATACAAAGGATAAGAGATCTGTGAGCAAAAGGCAGTAGTATACATTTACACAGAATAAATCACATCTAAATAAATCTGATTGCTTTATTTTGATTTAATTTACAAAATTAGTGAAGAGAATAACTCAAACATAATATAGATATGGACTCTGGCAAAACTTTCAATATGCTGCACTGTAAAACATTACATGAAAAACGAACCAGTATTGGCTTGAATGTGAGTGCAGCTATGTCAGTTAAGAAAACCCCAAACACCCTTCTGGGGAAAAAAACCCCAAAACCAATCAGAAAAACCAAACCCTAACAAAAACCCACTCTCAACCTCCATCCAAAACCAAACAAAAACAAACGAACAAAACCCCCAAACAAACAAACAAACAAAAACAACAAACTCCAAATACCACCCAATCAAAAAAATCCAGCAAAAAAATTCCCGAAAATAAACCAAAACAAAACGACGATGAAAAAAACCCACTCCAAACCCGCTGAAGAAGCATCATAAAAGCTGAGAAATAACCGGAATGTTATTCAAAACTGGATGGTGGCAGGTTCACACCTAGCTTTATTTTGATGGCTGCTGGTGATGTGTAAGCTGGCACGATGGGAAAAGAGATGCAAGCCTTAAGGAGAGGGGAGCAGCACTGTGAAGTTTAATTTAGGATGCACAACACTAGCGTGGCAGCAACGAAACGGAGGAGTTTGAGTACCAAGTTTATTTACTGTCCATTACAAATAAAATAACCAAGCAGCTAAAAGTTACGTATAGGCAAGGGCTGCCCCGCTGGCAGGTGACGGCTCTGCAATGGCTCCACGGGCGGCACCAGCCACAGC